AAACAAAAAAAAACACGTACGATGGCATCCTTTGCACGCTCATTACTTCTATAACACTGAGCCACCTCGTATCCTTTTGTTTTTCTTTCATGGTACTAATTTCTTTCTGCGCATTACGGCTGTTACGACGCTAAGTCTGTCTGCGCTTCGAATTTGAACTTAGGCTCAGATCAGGGACCAACCAGTTTAAATCAGGCAAATATAATTAACACTGTAGCAAAGTAAATCTATCATATCGATCGGAAATACGATTTGGCACATTCCATCTGAACACATATTGTGCACAGCGAATGCAATAGCGAGTCAGCGTGCAAAACGCCGCCACACTGAGCTACCATAACATCTCAGCGATTTTTGCATAGCACCGAGCACGGAAAAGAGAAAACAGTTATTCATTCACATAAACGAAGCAAATTTATTTAAAGCCCGGACACTTCGTACGTCCAATCTAGCTAAGGTTATCAATAGACTCGACCATGTCATTTGTCGAAACAGATAAAAGACGTTGGCAAAAATGATTAGACTGAATAAGTGAATCTAACGCACGTATTTTACCAACCGACGGTCGCGCGCCTTCAATACCCTTTCCAATTGTCATTGCGCACCTTGGACACACTTTTGGGAGCAATGCATATTTACATCGCCGCCCGAGGTCTCCATTGAACGTGTAGTGCTGACCCAAATAAAATGCTAACCTGACTCTGAATCGCTCACCGCAAAGGACGATTTCGAACAGGCGGTACTGTAGGTCACTTGAGATAAAAAAAAGAAAAACAAGCTATAGAAACGAGCGTCGTAAAAAAAGGGGACCGGCATTTTTATTCCTAGCTCCGAACAGAAACGAGCGCCACCCACTGCATCACACAGCGCAGAGGCCGGACTCGGCCACCGCGCGTACATACCAAGCGCGCGCGAGGGAGGGGGAAACTTCCTCCGCCGGGAGAACACGGCACATTTCGGGATCTATTTCACGCAGCGGATAACGCGGGCCTTTTTACACCTCGATACTGGCGCCATCTAGAAGTTGCGCGTTCAACCACGTTTCGAGCCGCGCGCCATCTGGTGGCTGAAACGGACGAATAAATAGAGGTACCGCGCCCTCTTAAACGAAAGCCCCCCGCCGATCGCAGCGTTGCTCAGACTGGAGCCAGTTGTGTGACCCATGAAGTCACCAATGCATATGAGGCAGAAGACGATGGCATCAACCCTGCGAGCAGGCCCACAGACGTTTTCGACGTCTTCTCCGGAATCGATGCAACCCAATCGCCAGTCGAAGGATGGTTCCTTCAAGGGACGTCCGACAACCACACGATTTTCTTCAAGCTTGTGGAGAATCAAGGCGTAGTTTCGGTGATGAGGGTGGTCACGTTCAGGAAGGACCTTCCTGTAGTTGTCAGTGTAGGGGGAAAGCTGGTACCAGAGGCAAGCTACAGGAGCCCAAGTTCGACGGATGTTCAACTGCGGTTGACAACTCTCAAAGAATTGAGAGTGTTATTGAGCTATGTTGACTCCCTCAAGGTTTGTGCTAGATGCCCCTGTGAAAAGATTCCAACTGTCCCAACTTCAAAAACAGCTGTCCGGGACGGGGATGTGTGGCTCAGAAAGACGTGCCTAGTGCTTTCAGAACTGACTACATGCCGAGAGTGCCGCCTCACACGAAAGGTCCTCTGCGAAAGTGAAAAAAGAAACTCTTCGAAACCAACAACCTCTCAAAGGAAGCCTCGTGTACTCGTGAAAAACCTCCGAAGGAAAGCCATCCGGGCTACAGCTTTTCGTGAAAAAGCTCGAAAAGAAATGCGGAGCCTACAGCGTCAGCTTTCTGAAATGTCAGACAAGAAGATCGAAGCTGCCATTTCTGTGTTGCCATGCTCATAAAAAGTGGCTTTTCGAAGAGCAGTCAAGGGCTGCCTCAGTAAAATCCGCACGTGGGAGGCGGTATGAAACCGAGTGGATGACGACCTGTCTCCTCTTGAGGATTTCGAGTCCGAAGACATATAGGCTAATGACTGCAATGAACCTAGTGCCTCTTCCGACTACATCGAGACTAAGGCAAATCATTAAAGGGGTCTTCTGCCAATTTGGCTTCAACAAGGTGGCCTTATCCAGCACTGAAACTTTCTTGGTGGGTAAAACTGGGCACCAGTGCTTCGGCACACTGATTCTGGATGAGATGAAGGTGCGGAGAGCCGTTTCTTTCAATCTAGGCACCTACAAACTTGATGGCCTCGTTGATTACGGAGACGGCGTCTCTTCCGGAACTGCCGCTGACCATGCCTTGGTACTAATGTTTGTGCCACTTTGCCACAGCTGGGTACAGGCCATTGCTTGTTTTTCCACAAAGAGTGCAGCACCTGGTGTAGCCCTTGCAAACCTTGTACTCCAGGCGATCATGGAACTGGGAAAGCACAAAACCATAGTAGTAGCTGTCATAAGGGATGGCGCTACCACCAACAAGTCGATGTGGTCATGCCTCGGTATCTTGGGAAAACTGCAAGACCCCAAGCACAAGGTGAAACATCCGTGTGATCCTAACCTGAGCCTAAACTTCTTGTGCGATGTCCCTCACATCATTAAATGCGCCCGGAATCATCTCTTGCGTTACGAATACAGCATGGTGAGTTGAATACAGCTTAACTCTGTTTCCTTTTCAAAGGTTTATTTATTTCCAGGAGATTCATTGAGTTAATTTGTTCGCATTGCATTTTTTTTAATTTTGCACATCGGGCAACACAAGATAAACTTCGACCACTACAGGGTCCTCTATAAGGCTGATTGCGAGGAGCAGATTCGAGTGGTGCCGAAACTGACCGAGGAACATGTACACCCCGGTAACCTAAGAAAGATGAATGTGAGGTTGGCTGTCCAGGTAACTGTTAGATCATTAAGCTTTTTTACAAATGCCACAGAAGACTACAGCGTTCTAAGGAAAACTGTTTTCTACTTCCAGTTTTTCAGTCGCAGCACCGCTGTAGGTATGAGGGTCTACAACCGACTGAAGTGCCCCGGCCTGGAGGACTGTGAGGGCACAGTTCAGTTCACTGTTCTCATAAACAACCTGTTTGATGCACTAAATGTCAAGCTGCCTCGACATGGCATAAAAAGAGATTCAGAGGAAATCAGGGTAAGATAACATATTTTAAAAATGAAACCTTACTTTCTGGGTCATCTTTTACACTCAGCGAGTGCTCTAGCAGCAGACATTATTTCTTGCAGATTATCACAGACATTTAGGATCTGGTAAACCTCACGGAGCATAGCAGTATCTCCAGAGGAACCGTCATGTTCGCATCAAAGCTTAAAATAGAGTCTTTGCGCGTCACCCTTGCTTCAGTTAGAGACCCGACGTTGGACATCCTCAACTCCGGAGCAGACTATGTGCTCACTGGAAAACTAAACCAAGGTCCCCTAGAGGTAATCCATTCCCATGAATCAACATGTCGAATTCTTACGCAACCCTTTCTTATATCGAAATTGCTTTAAGAGCAAGTAATAACTAATTTTGTTCTTTCTAGCGCTTCTTTGGGGTGGTCAAGACCTTCGGGCGTGATGAAGACCACCGCTTCTCGCAAATCTATCGCCTCTTGAGCCTCTACACCCCCATCAAAGCCTGTGTGACTGGGAACGTCATGGGAGAGCCAACAAGTGTTCTGGCGACTGTGAATCAAACAATGAGAGCCAAAAAAAAGAAAGAAGTTAAAACAGAACATGAAAGTCTCGAAGCTTGCCTTCGAAGTAAGCTCTTGCAGATTTGTATTTCTGCCCATCAAACACCACACCATGACCACATGCACGATCATGTTTACACTGACACATCGGCTCAAGATTGTATTATTTATTACCTGTGTGGCTACTTAGTGCGCTCAATTGGCAAGCACACAAAGTGTGAGCCCTGCATGGATGACATTCAGGGAGAGTCAAACGAATGTTCAGAGGCCTACCTCACGCTCGCGAGGGAATTCAGGGAAGGAAGCCTAAAACACCCATCGCGCAGAATGTTCGCAACGTTCAAGAGTGTCGAGGGCAAGATTGCTTCCGCACTGACGGCTGACGACCTTTGTGGGGACATAATGTGAAACCTCCTCGACGCCCTAGAACGTTGCGCAATCGCAATGCTAGGTTGCAAGGACCACAGTGATGTGTTTACTGCTGAGCTCCTTCGGTCATATGTCGTTTTATGCACACTGTAAAACATTTTCGCCCCATTTTACGGCAAAAGTTGCCGGTTCAATATTGCCGACATGTTTTCCGTAGTCTAGAAAATGGACCGTCTTTAAAAACACGACATAATTTCGTAAAATGACGGAACGTCCGTAGCTCACTTTACGAAAAGTTATCCGTTTTCTCTTTTACGGCAAAACTTGCTGGTTCAATATTGCCGACATGGTTTCCGTAATCTAGAAACTGAAATGTGCGTAAAAACAAGACACATATCCTGTAAAATGACGGAACCTTTGTAGCCCACATTACGAACAGCTATCCGTAGGAAGTTTGAAAGCTGTTCGCACTAAGTAACGAACCACCATACCTTCCCGTCTTATTGAAAGCCAAAGTTACAAGCCATTTGCACCAATCCTGCACCTCCAATACACTGGGCGACTCCTGAGGCAGACTTTGAGCTCTGCCAACGGAGTCATGATGTATAGGAGGTGGAAGACTGGTAAAAATGGCTCGCAGCTTTGGCCTTCAACAAGATGAAAAGGTATAGTGCTTCAGTGTTTAGCGTGGACAGCTTCCATGTTCAAGCAAGTCACATGAAGCTTTGGGATGAACGAATTGCATAAATAATTCATAGCTCCGTCATTTAATATATGAACTCGTATAATTTTTTTTTATCCCAGGCAAGGCATCAACAGTCTTTTGCAAAAGAAAATGAGCACACAAGATGTACTACACATTGCCGGGCTTTTGTCTGTGAGATCACTGTGCCTATATGACAGCTGAACAAACAAACCAATTAAAAAGTCTTGAAACATTACCTTTATTGGAAGACATGACTGGCTTTAAGTGTGAAGAGATACTACATTAAGTTTGTACTTGAACTGGACATCTAGATGCACCTCCATGCTCGTGTCTTTGCTGCCCTTCAATTGAATACCTCCTGGGTACCTTTATGCTGCATGTAAGCACACCTTGAAATAAAGAGCAGAAGATGATTAGAAATAAATAAACAATCAAAACTAGAATTGTACATGACATGTAAGAACAACCTCCAATAAATTGAACCCGAAGTAAAAAGTTCAAAGGATTTGATAACATAGTAAAACGCATGAGAAAAAAATAAACCACCAAATTAAGATTGCGAAATCATTCAGCGATACTAAGCACATTCTATTCAGCCACATCTCTAGCACACCTCCCAACCAAACCTATTTCAAATTAACCCCTTAGCCTGTTTTTCAAACTTTTTTTTGGCAAATTTTGATTCTAAACTGCTCTTTAAAATTTTTATTGCACGTGCAGCCCGGGCCGCACATGTCTCCACCATTGGTTGCCATTTTTAAAAGAGTGTTCAGTAAAACAATATGCGCTGCCATCTCGGCAGTGCTGCAAACTATGCTCTGGACGAGCCTGGGTCGTCCAAAATAGCCAAGAGGCGAGCGATAGTGTGTGGTACACTCGTCCTAAATGGATTGGGGACAGCTCTAGGTGGACGCACTAGGTTCGTTCAAAATGGTTAAGGGGTTAAAGGTATAGCTTCTTGAGCATACTGGAATCTGAACCTTTCTCCACTGGCTGAACATTTAAGCAAAATAGTAGAGCAATGCATTTGCTCTTGTTTCCTGCAATGGCACAGGCTTGTGCAACTAACTCAAACTAGAATGAAAGGGAATCTGAAGCACTTTAAGAAATACAAGTTGGGAGCAGACTTCTACAGCATTTCCTCCCGTAAATTCAGTAATCTCACTAAAGTAGGGCAGAAGCAAACATAAACTGCTTTTATTTAGAAAAATATGTGCAGTGATTTTTACAGGGCATGTGGTGAGCCTCTCTGCCACCCGTAATCTATCCGAAAGCGTGACATCGTCGGCACCCCCCGCCAGCTTATAGTGAGCAAGGGTCATCTGACCCTACCGATGATGTTACCTTTGCTATCTTTTATCTCCACTCTCGCGCTCTGCTGCGCTCAGCCTTCTGGCTGAGCGCAGCAGAGCCAGCAGGCTGAGCGTGCTGGCTCTGCTGCTGGCTCTGCAGCCAGCACGCTGCAGAGCCAGCATGGGTGGGGCTACAGAGAAATTTTAATAATGGCAATTACAACGCTCCTACTAACGAGACTGAAATAAAAATTCACACACAATTTTTAAGGTGCTCACAATAATATATATATATATATTTTTGTATTTAAGCGTTTTTTTCAGCTTTTTTTTTTTAAACATGGTGCCCACAGAGTACAACCTGAAATGCTAGTTTTGTGGAATGTGTGTTACACCTGACATCTCCCCCAGTTCAAATTTCCAACGTACATGGCATCAGTGCTTTAAGCCAGGGGGTTCTTAGACCCCCAACTATATGATGAAAAAGGGAAGGGAGGTTTGCAGCCCCCATACCATAACAATAAGTGTTTAATCTTACAATAAAACATGGTCAGTTTTCTAGTGATTAAAGTTCTGTTTGGTAAACGGACAGGAGTGCTGCCAGAGACCGACACTTGAGCACGCTCTTCGAGCAGAGAGTTTTTCTTGGAGCGTGAGCGACTTCTTCACGCTCCGTGATGTCTCCTCTCCAAACAAGACGGCTGCGCCGACAGAAACGCTGTCGAAACGAAGGGTGCAGTCGAACTGCTGCCTTTTTTTAGTTGAATATTGCTTAATCCAGCAGATAAAACTGATTCGTAGAAGCCAAGAACGCAATTAGTGTTCCAGAAAAGGTTTGTTGCCGCATCTCGCAAGAAAACAAATTAATGTGCTACCTATCGAGCGGTAACCTTGCCGAGATGAGAAGACAGTCTGACACCTGTCTTTTTGCAAGGCTTAGTTGAGCGAATAAAAATGCTTCATTTAAAAAAGCTGACACATCAATCAGCATTCCAGAAAAGTTGTGTTAGTGCATCTCGCTTGAAAAACAAATTGAAAATGGGCTCAATTTGGTTTGCCAGTCTCAAAAGTTTGACGGTTACCTGCGTCGACCACAAAAATGTGCTCATTTAAATCTGCGCAGTATGCTTGGTCAATAAACCCGGTTTGGTAATGCTAACTTTCCGCATATGTGTTCAAAGTGAATCTCTAAACATTTCAGAATTATTAAGATATTTGACGAAACTTCATAATGTTGCCGTCTTTTTTACCTTACATTCTGCTGTTCCCCACAGGCCTTTATTTTTTTCGAAATAATTTTGGCTTCTGCCACCCGCATCCATGAGGCGCCAAATCAGTCACAACTGTGCAATAAGAAGGGGCTCATGCGGCTCGTCAACTGTTCCAGTGTGTCACACTCTCGTACACTATACATTTAGTTGCTGCGCCCAGAGTAGGAGTAAAGGAGCCTGAACTGTGATTTTAATGTTTCGCGAAACTATGGGGTCGCGAATAGATTAAGTCCGTTTTCGCTGTCGTCTCCTCCGTGTGGATGCGCCTGGGAGACGGACGATTTCCAGATGCCCTGTGACGTAATCAATCCATGCACACACTAGTCCATCGTGTGAATCTGTCGTAAGTGGGCTGCGGAGTCTCCACTCACTCAACATTGTCCTGCACATCATGAAACTGTTTCTCGTATGCAATCAGACATTCTCAAAGAAACAAGGAAACTGCATAATGATGTCGTGCGTTATTCATCTTAAGGTGCATTAGCAGCTTCCACATCACTGAATATTATGTACATAGTAGTACACAATTCTAAGTTACAGGATAGAGTTACAGGAAGTAAAAAAAAAGACAGGACAGCACATCCTTTCATGTTCTGATTTTGTTCTATTTTTTTCATTAGTCACGTATTAAAAAGCTTTCATAGTAAAAACTGACAAATGTATATCATCTACCTTCCTCTTTCTCTCAATCTAATGCCTACCAACTCAGTCAGCAAAGTAACCCAAGCTCCCCCCCCCCCCCCCAACAACCCACAATATAAATTACTGGCTACCACACTACCTTAAGACATGCCGCAATTGTACGGTGGATGTGAATCAAACTAAAGACAAACTTTCGGTCTAAGGGAATAAATAGTTAAAAAGGTGTCAAACATGGTTGTAGCCTAATTTTCGTTTCTGCACCTACAAGAACAGTTAATTTTGTTTAAAAAGGTAGAAAGCACAAGGCTATCAGGTAGCTCACCGACAGCAACCACTTGGGGGGTGCATGGTAGGGAGGGCAGCAGGTCTCTAATGCTATTTCCTTCCTGAAAATTGCAATCAGGACTTGTGAAGAAAAACAATCCAAACAACTGGAAGCAAACATTCATTCACACACCACAAAGTAATGTAGGATAACCATAGCTTGCAAATTCACTTTATCTTCTTTTCTGCCATAGCACCTTTCTTCTTTCATTTCAGATTGGGATAGAAACTTGCACCTAGAATTCATTGAAACAACTGTATACTAGCAACACGTACCTCAAGTACCTGCACCCGGGTCTCGGTCTTTTCTTTGAAATAGCACGTAAATTGTGGCAGCAGCACTTTTTCTTTTGCCATGGCCTCACCACGCTTCTCTGCCTCTTCAGCTTGGACAGTCCAAAACAAAATCTCCCTGTTTGAGCTCTTTGCAAAGTGCCTGGCTAATAATGCAGTGCATAATTTCAGTCCTTCACGAAAAGTTTCCTTGAAAAAAAATAGCACATAAATTTAAGAAAACATTGTTTACAGTTTGTTTTCCCTTACTTGATCTAATCTTAGATTCTACCAAAATTGTATTGTAGAACCAGGTTTCATGAAAAACAATGAGCATCCATCTCTACAATATTGTTTTCTACCTGAATACTTTTTTTTTTCCGGTGGAACACTTATGGGCGTGTAAACTGCATCATTGTTAAAAGAGCAAAAGTCAAGCAGTCATAAATTACAATATGGCATTTGCATATCTGTGGTACCTGTACCGGAAAAATTCTTGAGTAGTATAATATCCACTTTAGTAATGGCATCATGGAATGGCAAAACAAATATGCTCTGGTTAGATGACAGTGGTTATAGAGTATCCTTTTTTGGAGGGAGGGGGGCGAAGTGGTGACAGCAGGTAAGGAACGGGGCATGAAGAGTGATTTCATGCATATTCTGGTCCAATTCATTTTGTAAAAAGAGGGTAACCCACAAGCCCCCCCCCCAACCTTAGCTGCTAACCAACCAGCACAAGTTGGTTAGCAGGTGGGGAGGGACTCAGTCATTGGAAGCTACCTTCTAACTTGGCACTGGAACCCAGTTACCGTAAAATCCTGTAAGGGTGCCCTCCTCTGAGAGATCGCTCATCCCGATTGTCTGGCGAAATATTCGCAGCATAAAAATTCCAAAACGTCACTCATGCCCCAATTCCCGTCGAGGGGAATCGCACCAACTGTGCGATTTGCGGTACCAGTGCGTGTGACAAGCAGGTTCGCAGCGGGTTCCGCGTCCTTGTCAGCGATCTGTGTGTGCAATATTTGTTCCCGTGCGAGTTCTTAGTGAGTTCCCGCGGTTATTATCTGCCCGCGTGATATTGGTTCATATGGCATGCAAGTTTATACCATGGCATGAACACAGGACTTCGCAGTGGATTCCCGCATGTTTGCCGCATTCTGAAACGCGAATTTACTATGTCCGTGATCTGCAGTATCGGTTCCCATGTCAAATGGTTTGTAGCGGTGCCCTTTCTGTTCATCATAATTTTTTTAGAACATTTTGCTGTCTCATTCCCAAAGATAGCCCACTCATGTTTTTCACTATTTATCTCTTCATTTTGGTTGGGCGCCTTTACTACGGTAGTAAATATGCTGTGCAAATTAGTTAGCACAAACATGTCATTAATGACTTTCCACTTTCCTAGAACAGGGTATAGAGACAACAACGTGTATTCAAGACCAAATTGTCACCCCAAATGAGCATATTCCATTCACTTTTATTAAAAATATGAAAATGAAAAAAAAAAAAACTGGAACAAAGAGGAAGTTTTTGTTCATGCCTTTTTTGTTACGCTTTGGATGCATTGTACCAAATTTCTGGAAGAGCTTCCATTTTCTGTCACATTCACATGCTAACGAAAAAATTGTTAGACTAAAGAGCTGCACCTGTCCTTCCATGAAGAGTGCTGTTCATTTTGAACTTTACATAAGTTAACTGAGCACCACCAATTTGTAGCCTGGCTGCTGGGAGTAAACTATCTGATATTGGGAATTTTTGTGCTATTTGCTACTGAATAGCTGCTTTTGAAGATGTACCAGTAAAAACATTAGAAGACAAGTTGCTTACCTCAATGTTCTTTCCCAGCAGGGTCTTCACATGTGCATAAAACAGGGGTTTATGAAAAAGGAGAGGCCACTCCTCCTTCACTTCTCTCACAGAGTGTATGGGATTCACGCCGTTGATGTACGCTCTTTGATCACCATATGTAGCTGTTGAAAGTTCCATTGCCCGGGACAGGTCAAGATCCTTCGTTGCCTTCAGGGCTTCTCTCTTCATCCACTCCTTGTTTTCATTTGCGTCATGAATATCCCCCCCCCCTCCCGATGACCTGGGTTGCCAATTTAAGCAGCCATAAGAGGATTTAGAACTTTTCTTCTATGGGTGCGATTCCTGTGCTTCAGGAGCTGACAACCGCTTTCCCCGGTTTTGGTTTTCAACCCGGTTTTCCAATTGACGGAGAAGCGAACCATACCCTGTGCCCATCATCTGTCCGTCAATCCCTCGATCCTCCAGTGACGCCGGAAACGTCTTTACAAGTTCTTCGGCCACACGCCTGATGCAGTCTCTTTGGGGCCGTGATGACTTTTGCATTAAGTTGTTTACGACAATCCTGACAAGCTCTAGTCGGTCCCTGGTAATTAGTGCTTTGCCTACCACTAAGGCATCCTGAGCGCTGCAAGGGAGGAGTTCCGGTTGTAAACTAAAGCTGGTTGTCTCCAGCTCAGGCGATCGTTCAGCTGAGAGCCCCCTTTGCTGCACGCCAGATGTACCTGCATCAAGTCATACCATACCAATCACAATCCGATGGTTTTGTTCCCTTTATCTCAAGAGGCGGAGGAAAGAAACAGTTTGAAATTGTGTTACTGTAAGGCCTACCGTAAAATCCCGTAAGGGCGCCGTCCCCCATCCTGTTTTTTAAGGCTAAATATCTTAAAATTCCGAAACATTGCCCATCCCCTATTCCTGTCGTACATCAGACGGGGATCACATTAACTGCGTTATCTGCGGTACTGGTACGTCTGACAAGGGAGTTTCTAGCGGGTTCAAGCGTTTTTGTCTGTGATCTGCACGTGTCGTATTGGTTTATGTGACATGGAACTTGACCCCGCACGTTTATTGTATCGTACAATGCGAGTCTCCTGCACCCGCAATCAGCGGTATTTGTTCCCGTAACAAGCGCGTTCGTAGCGGGTTCCCGCATTTTTGGTCCGCAATCTTCGCAAGCAATATCGGTTCCCGCGACACACGAGTTGTCCCGAATGTTTGCACCATGAAACCGCTGCACCGTGAAATGAAAATCTGCTGCATCTGCAATTTGCGGCATCGGTTTCAATAATATACGAGTTTGCGGCAGGTTCCCGCGTGACCTTCGCACCGCATACTGTGTTTGCACGATTCTAACGTACACTTCTTTTCCCAAGAATTGGTGCTCAAAACTACATGCGCATTACAATCGACACCTAAAGGAACTCGAGAAAATGCAATAATTGGTATAAGGTGACTAGCCCCATCACCATCGTAAAAGTTTGTTTACATTCGCCATTTTGTTATTCGTATCGCGCACACTCTCTCGTGTCTACGGACTCAAGTCCGCCGTTTTAAGATGGGAAAGAAACAAAGATCAATTGGGAGGCTTTATTTCAACAAAAGACCATCACGCTGGCGGAAGAGGTAACAACGGACAGCACTACGTGGCCTCGCAACCCAACGAGCTCACAAAGTTGTTTGGAAGATTACCCTTCCATAGCGACGGCAACTAGTGCACAGCATTTATTTTTGTGTTGGCGCTTGTTTCATAAAATTTGTATATGTTCAATCTTCATTATTTCACCTGTGCAGTAGAATCGGCCACAATTTATTTTTTGAATATTTGAAAGCTAAGTCTGCCTGCGCGTTAGAATCGGGAGTGTGTTAGAAACATGCAAACACTGCAAAGAGAATCTGCTGCATCCGCAAACCCCTTTACCCTGACACAGGATGTCGCAGCAAAAAACCGCGTGTTTATCGCATCATAAAACGCAAATTTGCCGTGTCTGCGATCCGCCGTATCAGTTTCCATTTTATACGGTTTGTAGTCGACAGCCCAGTGTCTTATCGTATTTTTTTTTCTATAAATATGTGCTGTCGCATGCGTAAAGATAGCCCACCCCATGTTTTTCCCAATTTACCTATTCATTTTGGGTGGGCATCCTTACAAGATTTTATGGTATTTTTTTTCCTAACACTGTCTTTCTAAGTAGTAGGTTTAGAGGTATAACTACATTTCTATTTTTAATGAGGTGCTGACTTCTAACTACCTTCCAGTTCAGAGCATATTTTTAAAATGCAAAATTGATTGAAAGCAGACTGGTTTATTTACATACCGTATTTTCGCGATTCTAAGCACCCTCCGATTCTAAGCACCCCCCCCCCCCCCCCCCCGACTTCCAGACATAAACACCTGAAAAAAGTTTGCATGCGAATGTATGCACCCCCCTCCTGACAAGAAATTTGAGAGCGGAGACGCCGGTATCGCCGAGCGCCGAAGTCGCGAACGCCTGCTGGCGCTTGGTTTCAACGTCAGTTAATAGATGGCAGCACATACCGCCATTTGCCACTTTCGCATCCGTGCAAGTTGCGAAAGAGGGTGCGTTGCCGTGCCCTCTATCAAAAATGTTCTGTCTGTTTGGTCTCCTTGCACTTGTTGCAGTCGGTTGTTTAATCTGTTAAGCCTATTCGTTCGCGTTGGCTTCGCGATCGTATTCCGTTCACTGTGTGCACGTGGTTTGCGGAAGTCGTCCGTCACGAATGCGAAGAGAACTTCATATACGATGAAGTTTAAGAGAATGGTTATTTCTTACGCGGAAGACAACGGAAATCACGGCGCTGCTGAACAGTTCGGAGTGCGGCGTTCCGCACAAGCCGAGGCTGGGTGGAGCGGATGATGAAGAGGAACGGTTTCTCTTTGAGACGCCTCACCACTATTTGCCGGAAGCTACCGCTGGACTTCGAGGACAAGCTTGTCAACTTCCAACGTTATGTGATGAAGCTGCGTCGCGAATCTCGCTACGGACTTGGGCAGATCGGCCATGCCGGTGAGACCCCTGTGTACATCGACATGCCAAGGACGTGCACCGTGAGCGAAGTAAGCGCCCGAGAGGTAAAAGCGCGTACGACTGGCTATGAGAAGCAAAGGGTTGGCTATGCGTCACAGCCAACGGTCGGAAACTTGCGCCCTACAGCATCCTCAAAAGACTAGTCGCGAGAGCGACTAGTCGACCGTGGTAAAAATTGATGGCAAGCGGGCTACTCTCCAGTCTTTACTTTATTTATTTCCTTTAGAACATTTCTTGTGCAAATCTCGTATCTTAGGGGCATGTTCCGAATCTAAGTAGCCCCCCCCCCCCCCCACCCCCCCTCTTTGAACATCGCGGGTGTGAAAAAAAAGAGGGTGCTTAGAATCGAGTAGATATGGTATGTACTATCTTGGAAAAATGAAATGCAAACAGAAGAGCCTGTACCGCGTGGCTTGCGGTACAGGCTGCTCCGCCTGGAAGTGAGCCTAGGGGCGAGGGTGCGACGCCTACTCGGATGTGTTTACACCCTTCGCTCGGCACTCCCTAAGCTTCGGCAGTACTATCACCGCTATCTTTGCCCACTCGGCGCATGCGGCGCGAGGAAGCTCGCCTCTAGTAGCAGGAGCACGCCCTTCAGCTGCTAGTAGCAGCAAGCTTCATCGCGTTGCACGCGCCGAGCGAGCAAAGATAGCGGTGATAGTTTTCAGCACACTGCCGAAGCTTGGAGAGCGCCGAGCGAAGGGTGTTAACACATCAGAGTAGGCCACGCACCCTCGCCCGTAGGCTCACTTCCAGGTGGCGTAGCTTGTACAGCGAGCCTAGCACTCCTCAGTTCGCATTTCATTCTTCCCCGATAGTACATCATAATTGACCACAAGTTTCATAAGCTTTTCTGATGTGGGTTGCAACATCTCTTCAGTTCCTTTTCCAGTGACAAAACATTAATTTGAAATACTTAGCCAGCTGACTTGCACTTGGCCTACCACCTGCCACTACTGCTTTTCTGATGCTAGACCTAAGAAGTACCAAACCTCATGTTTGTGTGGTTATGTCCAGCTTGTGGGTGCTTGCTTAATATTTTATGACATGCTTGGATCAGCAAAATTCAATCTGGAACATCATGCACAAAAAAAGTAATACCTGGTTGTGTTTCGTCAAGTGCTTTGCATGGTGTTTTTTCTGCCACAATGAATACTGTTCGTTCAAACGGCAGTTCCAAAAGCAGTTCACCGAATGCCTCATCCTCAAGTTCAGTCCAATCTTGCAGAAACACCTGTCAAAACAAATATTCTTATGAAAGCAACTGAATGGAATAATAAAAAATAGCACTGTCTTACCTTAGACTTCTCTGAAGCGCATGTGTCTTTTTCTTTAGCAATTGTTATGACGTCGCTCATTGTTTTCACGTTTCCAACTTTTCTCACAGAGAGGTCTGCACTCCATATTTTAACAAGCGGCATTGTACCTGGGAAGAGAGAACCGTAATATTTATGTTCAATTATTATTTCCACAGTGTCACTATCGGAAACTTTGACCACATCTACTGCAGTGTGTGGCCGAAAGGATGCTTGTATAGGCTCCTTCAAGGGCCTTCATTTGATTGAGCACCAGATGACTGACCATAACGTGCAGATTAAGAACCTGCCACCAAAATTAATGTGGAATGAGAACAAGGTTGGGCATCTTTCAGAGTTTGTTTTAAACACAGATTTTGATGCTATGCACACTACTGTAACTTAAATGATCTATTTTAACTCTTACTACTAAGCATTATATTGAGAATTTTAAGTTTCTAGATGTAATTGTGATTAAAAGGATCTTCAGTCTTTTGCTTTGGTATGCTATTGGCGTGAAGATCTAACTACCGTAGAATACCGCGCATCCGCCTATTCCACACCAAGCGCCCATTCCCAAATTTTTAAGATCTGAGAAAATATGCACCATACATTGATATGTAAAACATAACCAGACAAATGCCCATCCCACATTTTTCTACGATTATCTCTAAGTTTCGGAGGGGCGATTTATTTACATACCGTATTTTCGCGATTCTAAGCACCCTCCGATTCTAAGCACCCCCCCCCCTCCCCCGACTTCCAGACATAAACACCTGAAAAAAGTTTGCATGCGAATGTAAGCACCCCCCCCCCCCCCCTGACAAGAAATTTGAGAGCGGAGACGCCGGTATCGCCGGCGTCTCCGCTCTCGCGTGTTTTACGTAAAGAAGCGCTTTTTCCAGCTTATTATCCACGGAGCTGTGTTTACCGAACACAAGGCCCGTGAATAGGATTCTTTTCATTATCTTTTCATTGTCGAACGCTGTATCAGATATTAACAAATATTTATTGCCCTTGTTGCTCCAATGTGTTGAGTTCTCAACTTGGCCACTAGAGATTTGACAGTTGGATCCCTTTTAGTAGTCATGGACAGAATAACAATGTCAAGATCTTTGAATGGTGCCACCTCCAGTGTGAGCTTCCTACGTTAAATTATACCTGGGCCGGCTTGCTAGAAACTGTCTCGGCTGAGACTGTGTGAAAGAAAGCACTGCCAAGCGGGACTCAAACCATGTCTTCAGACGCTCGCATGCCCCAGCCTTTGCAGTGCTTCCTTTCACTCAGTCTCAGCTGAGACGCGGTTTTAGCAAGCCGGTCCTGGGAATCTGGCAAGCTCTGAGCGTGCATGCATGGCCAATGCATGAGGAATGCCAAAGAGTGCATGAATCCAAAAGAGGGGCCCCGAGCTTCTTTTCCCATCAGTGACTAGAAATGCACATTAGGAGTGTGGCAAGTACCCAGGTAGCACACTTGCCTGGTTTAGCTGGGGCCAGAATTGGCATTTAGCTGTCATAGCTTGGCCACGACTGCCCAGCCATTTACGTCTGTATGCCAGCCTGGCATTTCACAGTCTTTCCTTGCACCAGAAAGCCACGGAACTGCCAGGGAACGTCTTCCCTGGTTGACCAGTCAATATCCTTGGTCATTGATGGTCAGTGTAAACGGGCCGCTGCCATTATTTATGTACCCTGGCTGTCTATTGATTTTCCTCGGTCAGAATTGGCCAAGGTAGCAATGCCTCTGCCAAGCTTTGAGGTTCCATGGTGGTTCGTTGGAATTCCCTGGTCCACTCAATACAAGCAACAGCCAGTATTCGGGCATGTTGCCAGATCGAAGATAGGGTGAGCCAAGGAATGGCAGGGAATTGCCGCTATGCAATGTTCCGTGGCTCAAGCTCGTATTTTATTGGACCCAGAATGCCCGCTGAAAGCCACTGTTTTTTTTTTTTTTTTCACTTTCTCTTTTTAATTTGCATGAGCATTCTCTTAACATATTTTGGGTGCTTTGAGGCACGAGCCCTTGCAGTAGAAAGCGACGTTTCAGTGCAAGATGTCTGTTTTAGTTGGAGACGTAAAAAAGAACACGTTTTCCCCATTGAAAAAGAAAAAAAGAACTATTTGAAAACAGTTTGGATATGAACAGGCCAAACCCGAAATGAACTGGTTCTAGTGGAATTGTACCGAACAAATTGGAAATCAAACTGTCTAAATTGGTCGAACTCGAACTTTATAACTTTCCCGCTTTTTACCGCGGCCTTTATCTACCCTGATTCGCACGGACAAGCCGCTTCCAGCGCAAGTGCCCGAGGCGGGGAGCCTCCCACGTGATGTTGGAAAGGCGCGGGAAGACTCCCACACCCCCAAGTGAATCATGCGCCTGGAATGCGCCAGTGCACCGGGACCGGAGATGATGCAGTGTCCTTGAAAGAGGAGAGCTGCTCACGTGCCAGGACAGGGAGCGCGCGTGCCAATCAGCGCGGCCTTCGTGTCCGCTCGAAGCGCCAGTTTGAGTCGGCGGCGGCGCAGTACCAAAAAAAAAAAAAAGAAAAAAAAACGGATTTGGCGTTGCGCGGATTTCGATCTTTGTTCCCTCCAGTGCCCGCTGCTGTTCTGCTTGGGGAGGTTAGAGGCTGCTGTGTAGTTTGCCGGTGCCTTGAGTGCTCCCTCTGCCGATGGTTCCTGTGGCTGATGACGTCCTCCGCCTGAGTTCCGCTCGCTCGAGGGCGAAAGGGCTGCATCCCAGAATGGCGTGTTCGGAATTCGCTCCGTCCTGATTGCAGCGCGGGCAATGGCTGTCTCGTGTCTCCGCGCCAGCAAGCCAGGTAAGCAGGCTCGACCATTTGGATTCATTTTCGTAATCAGGTGCATGTGAAACTGAACCTGTTTGCAACCCAATTTGGAACAGGTATGCTAGTAATGCAACCTCATGTGTATACATTCAGCTTCAGAGATCCTCTACAACAGGGGTTAACCACTGTGGTAGAGCATCCGGCTGTTGTTACCCCCTTCCTGCCGTCCCAGTCCTTCGTCCGCTATGCAACTTGCGATTGCGAGTTGCATGGCGGACGACGGACTGCGGAGGCATGAGAGGGGTAACAACAGCAGCTTCTTTTCATTCCTAGGCGTTGTTTTGCGTAAAGGCTGAACCGCATGTAAGCGAGCGACGAGCGGCGGAGATTCCCAGCAATCGCTCGTCGCGTCGCTCGGTTTTTGCATTTCTAAAAATCGTCTCTCATCGCCTTGGTCGCTTGCTCCCGTCGCTTTCATGCGGTTTGCCGCGTCGCACCAGTGACCGAACGACAGCGAAGCGGATCGTCATCGCTCATCAAATCGCTTAGATGCGGTTTACACTTAATGCCGCGAGACAGGCACGACATGTACGATTGGCACACGCTTCCTTATTCTCTCATACTGTTTATGGTAGTGCATATTTTTTATTCGTGGCATTAGTTACGTACCGTTTTAGTACAGACGGATGAAAATAAATCTGCTACGGTTCTAATTATTGATGTTTACTATTATTTCAGATGCCTTGGGGTACTACGTCAGCCACCACCGGAACCCCGACACTCCAGAAGATGTGGAGGATCTCGCCAACCGCCTGGGACGCATGAATAATATCATGACAAATTTGTTTGCTCTGTACATATGTCTTTATGCTTATTTTCGAGGCCTGCAGTATGTGTGTGTGTGTTTTTTTTGTGACAATAAATTTTATTTTATTAATTTACTACGTGTGTTGTCAATATGACCAGTTAAACTGGTTTAACTGCATGGTGAATTTCTCTCGTCTAGCCAAGCTTGGCTGACCACCCGGCCACTAACCTGGCCCATGCTGTATATACAATTAAGAGCCAAGCTTGGGGTACCACTGAGCTTCCCGCCTGGCCCATGCCGTAATTCCAGCGGTGAGCCAGTCCATGGCTACACAGGGAACTGCCGCTGGTCGCCAGACTGGCATACCAGGATGGGGCTGCCTAGCGCCATGGGGCAAAACAATCTAGGCCCAGTGAAACTTCCCCGGCTACCCAGTCTGGCTCAAGCTTGAGCCGGTCGTAATGTGCTGCTTGGGTACAGCCCGACAATTTAGTTCTTTCATCTCAAAGGCACTTTGTTCACGATGTGGTATCCCTGTGCAAGGTGCTCGGAACTATTATTTGTTAAGGGCATGAAATAAATATATCGCATGGATCAAGACATTAAAAAGTCCTTCAATTGGATCCTAACCCAGATGTTGAAGGGGGAAGGGATAAGGGAATGAATTGGCAGAAAACTAAGTACTACTGTCACCTGACAAAACATTAAAGACTCAAGGCAAAAGCATCAGTTTCGGCTTGGGAGTACAATAAAGCACCCGGCTGAATCAAGGTCCACCACTGTAAACAGAACTTATAAAAAAGGGAGCGGTCCCTTCTTGTTTTATTAAACCAAGCAATAACAAAGGAACATTCAGAAATTTTCTGGAAACGCAAAAGGAAGTCTTATAACTTTACTGTGGCCAAGCGAATATGGCCGGTAAGATGTAGAACCAAGAAGCTTTTCTTGATTGACAAGAACTACGTCTCCAGTTGGATCCTGAAGGCTATACAAGCACATAGCCGGCAAGAGTGTAGCTGGGACACATCGAAGCGGAAATGCTATCTCTCCCGATGCATTGGATGTAATGCTAGTCACAACTCCAAAGATTATGTAGAAGTGATTGCCTGAAATGAGGACATAGTCACCAATTACATAAGTTGTTCCCTTTACGACAGCCTTTTTGTAAAATGTCAGATTTCTTACTGATTCTACACCTTCAAAGGCATGAGAAAGTTCAGACACTTCATCTGGCTGTTCGTGAGCTTTCGCACCATGAAGCTCGACATCTGGCGGAAACAGACCGCGGGAAGTCGGAAACGCCTGAAAGAGTTGGTGCCTTTCGCTTAGTGTTTTGGTCACATTTTTAAAATTTTTTGTCAAACGAATGCAATATTTGAAGTACTGGTGTTTTCTTTCGAATCTGAGTGTCCATTCTAGACACAATGGGCCAAACTCTTGGATGAGGTCACCATAGTGCAACATATAATGATGCTTCAGCCTCAGTTTGACATCAGGAAAAAACGCTTTACGGTTGCTGAGGTACGTCTGGATTAAGACCTTGAGGTAAGCAACCTGTGCGTACGTTATTTTGGGTGCCATTAGCAAGTCAATTACTCTCATTAACTCAAGACTTAACTGCCACACAGAGTTGCTTAGATCAATCACTTTATCCCCTACATACAGCGGCAGCAGCCGCAGGAACGTCCAGTTCTGCATGGCGTGGCCTGCAAGCTTATCGCCCTTGCTACTCACCTTACATGGCCTGTTTCTCAGGTCCCGTGCACTGTACTTCAGAGCCATAATCTTTATGTTTAAGTAGTCATAAGAAAACCACCCTTTGTGCACAAAGTACCTAATGAACAAGGGCAGATCATACTGAACTACACCCTCAAACATATCATGACCAATGCATGGCGGCAAGCCAGCTTGACATACGTGAAAGCTGCTTAGCACGTTAAAAGGCGAGTCGCTCACAACACCATACATGCCACATTCTTCGTCGTGATGTGTAATGCAATTTCATAGTTTTCCACAGACCTCCTTTCACCTGCCAGGGTTGCGTCTTCATGAAATTGTGAACGAGTAGCTAGGCAAAATCTGCAAAAATATGCAGACGTGCTAAAATTTTGCGTGAACCCACCGACCGCATTGCTCCCTAAATTATCCCCTACAATGAAGCACAGCTGCACTCTGTAAGGCTTCCCTTTGATCTCCAGACCCACACGTTCTAGGTAGCACAGATCGTCAATCAATGGTTGAAGAATTTTCTTCAATCCAAACTCTCTTACATTTTTTTGAAGAGCAAGCAACACAAGCTGCATACTCTCGGTACGAGCCCTACAGTGTTGCGGCGAATTACCAAGTGTCAAATACACACCCAATAACTTAAAGTTTCCTCTTGCAGACCCCAATGGATTTGACAATTAAAATTCATCTTGATATAAGATGACTTGTATAACATCGTCAGAGGGCTGAAATTGTTTACACGTTGTAAAGTCAGCGAAACATTCATTGAACTGATGTGACCTATAAGGTTCCTGGGGCGAGTTGGACATCAACAAAACTATCGACTCGTGCACAGGCACATAGTGGAAAAAAGAAGGGAAGTTCTGCTTGTTGGTGCCAAGATTAATCTGAACTGGCTTTACAAAGTGAAAACGTTTCTTAAAATACTTGTGTCTCAGGTACGATGATTTCAGACTACATGATGTCACAGCATCCAGGTCATTGTTCCTAAAATGACAAAGCACTAATTCTAGTGTATCACTAGGAAGGATTTTGGCAAGTTCTTCTTCCATCAGTTTCTGACTAAGCTTTTGGAGGTTGTCGACTTCATTCACAATATACTGAACCGTATCTGCAGGGACATGATGCTGGGCTTCTAATCGGAGGAAAAACAATGCCGCGTTGTCTCTAAAAAGTTCATGATCCGAGACGTCTCTTCGATCACAGGGCTCTTCATGGCTGCTTTCTTCAACAATGTCCAGTACGGCACTTAGGTCATGGGACTCCTCAGGGTTTTGCTCAGAAATGTTCAGCAAGGCACTTGGGTCATAGGGCTCTTCAAGGTTTTCTTAATCAACGTCTAGCGAGGCATGATCTTCGGAGATGTGGGCTGTTGGATCGTCCTGTACAGTATGGCAGAGCTCCAAAGTGTCCTTTTGTGGATGATGATAGCGTGAAACATGCATTCTAGAGGCATTTCGCGTGCTGATCTTGCTGATGCACCCAGTGAAAGGGCACACAATGGGCTCTTTTCCCAACTTCAAGTGGTCAGCAATATGAGAGATCATCCTTGATCGTGTTGCTACTTGTTGGGCACATTTTGCTACTGGGTATATTAACAGTCTGGTTTCCGAAGACACCTGACTTTGTTTGTGTGCCCTGTTGAAATGGCTGATGAAAGTTGCATAGCTTTTGAATTTCGCACCACAGCTTGATGCAGGGCACAAAGCACCACATGTTATGCTTCTGTGAAATCTGCAGTGTTAAAGTAGTCCACCAACGTGGAAAAACGACGGCCACAGATTCGACAGCAGTTCATCGATGATTGATCCAAGTACAACCTGGAAAAAAGAGAGTATTTTCAACTTAATGTGGTCACAGATGGATGAGTTAATGCAGAAAGTAGAATGCTTCATTCTTGTACTTCAGCTTGAAAGTGGGATGGTGAACAATTCTGGAGGTGATGCTTGGAATGGGCGTCTACATTATGCCTTTGTTGCCCCAACCGGAGCGGTATGCCGCCCTCTCAACGCCGAGTCAAAGCTTCGAGGCCGAGTGCTCCCCCTCCGATTCAGGGGTCAACTTGGGCGGTCTCATTGTTCTACCGACAACAGCTCAATGATATGTCATTAGTCCCATTCTTCAGTTTTCTATTTTAGTTGCATTCTTGAAAAGCAAGAATCTCATTACTTCTCTGAAATAGGGGCCTCACAGCGTAGCATATAACATTCTTCTACATCGCCCGATAAAAAAAATGAAACCTTGTTTAGTGGCCTGCATTAAAAAGTGTATATCGCAGAGAGCTGTAACTTTGTGCGAATGTGACTCTGGTGGCAGTGATAAAATATGAAAAATATGACACACTATATTACCTAGATAAAAAACACCAAAACATAACAAAGCTTCTCTATGAGTTGTGTCTTCTGAGGCTTAACATTGATCGAAGCAATAAATATTGTTGTGGGTGCCTGTGGCAATTATGTTATTGGAAAAATGTGTTAGCCCAAAATACAACCTCGTTTTCTTTCCTGTCGCATCTTTTTTTTAATTGAAATTTATGTTTTGGGCACTTATAACGCCATGTCTCGGTTTGATGATCTTGTCCATTCTCTTCATCAATCCTTCCTTTCTACTCACGCTGTTTGCACCATGAATACTTACCAACTCGCCCAACTTTCCTAAGTGGACGCTTGCTAAGAAAGAAATTTGTTTTTCGAATGTAGCTTTTGATTAAGGTATCTGCTCTCAAACTTTTGCATTCTACCACCACCCATTCACACAGAGTTTCGGTTCTCAGCAATATGTAGTCTATGAGAGCCAAAAAGGCTGCTTCATTTTCTTTATCGAACCCCAGTGAGTGTGATGCTGATCCATGTTTTCAACCGAAGTATGCTTGTACAGTCATGCTTTCTTTTCTTGAAGCTTGTCCGTCCTCGTCTTTTAGGTTCTTCCCTTTATTTATACACGTCTTGATTCATTTGGAAAGTTGGTTTTGATGCTGTCTGGTGATGTTCAGGAAAAGCCTAGTCCCATAAGTGACCAGCAAGTAAAACAGTACCATAATGTTACACTTATTACAAGTCTTGGGCTCTTGCCTCAACAGGAATCAATCACAAAAAGGCATTTGCAAAATAAATGTAGCTATTAGGGCTGGGCATCAATTAAAAAATTTAATCCAATTAATCATTAACTTTAATTGATTAATTAATCACTCAAAGGTCTCACTCATTTCCATCTATAATGTTTTCAAAAGTCGAAATTCCATTTTCCTTTTGCTTCTGATCAATATGTAATAAATGCAGCAATATACAATTAGGGTGATGAATCAATCTCGATGTGTAGTTACAAACAGTTTAAAAACACGCACATTTACAGACATTGCAGACACTCACTTCAGCCACATGTGGCAAAAGGGTTCGTTGATATTCACCGGCAAAACAACCTTCTTTGATTGTTTATAATAGTCTCTGCTGCGCTAAACAGAAACTCCCATGGTGCTGAACTGGCCGAGTTTCGTGTGTAATCATCTGTACCTCTGTGGAATTACAAGTCTAGCCTGTGCAGCTTAGTTAAAACTTCACCTTAAGTTTGTCTTTTTTGCAGGTGTTCTCGTCCGTACCTGCATGAAGCGTTTAATTTCTACTTTTTGGTTCGTAAAAATTTTACCAACAGTTAAAAATTTTTAATTGCGATTAAAACATTAATTGATAGGTTATTTATTCAATCGCCCAGCCCTAGTAGATATATGTGCAAAGGTTAAATATACCATTATTCTGCAGCTATCCATGCTTTTTCAGATATTAAGACACTATGGACAAGTGAGTCTAATTTAAGATGCATATTATTTCATGCCAACGAATTTCTGGAATTTCCTGAATGGCTCGGGAGCATAATGCTCCAGAACTAAACATACCCATTTAATGGAAGTAGCAATGTGCCGCCCAGTTGCCTGTGATTCTGTCTGTTGCACAACGCTTGTATTGAAGTAGGGTCGGTGAGGAACACTGCGAATTCACAGATAACAACACATCATAAATTGATATCTCAACAAACCCTGCCTTTTCCCGCATACCAGGACCACCTCCTTTGACATACGAGCAGGGGCAGATCCAAGGGGGGGGGGGGGCGGTGACGCCACCCCCTCCCCCCTTTTCGGAAGGCAATTTGACATGGGTGGACACCCAGGTGCACACAAAGAATGGGAGAATAGTATTCTTACGAATTTCCTGCCCCCCTCTTACCCCTCCCCTCCCCTCCCCTCCCCCCCCCCCCAAAAAAAAGGAGTTCTGGATCCGCCCCTGGCTTAGGTTGTATTAATACAGAACACATTAAATTGAAGGGACCATGATATTAATTTTGGGTTTAATTTTCTACTAAAAATGTGATAGAAGTTCACGCCACGCCCCCTTCTGAGCAAAAAAATCTGGAGCACAGAATCCAGTGGAGGAATTGGCGGCGTGACGACAGGCGCGCATCGGCCAGCCGCAAGCCGCCTCCCTCAGAAAGGCGGCTTGCAACTGACTGAGGTGCGCTCGTTGTCACGCCGCCGGCGCCACCACTGGATTCTGTGCTCCAGTTTTTTCTACCCAGAAAGGGGCATGGCACAAACTTCAATCACATTTTAGATGGGAAATAGACGTCGCACAGACATAATTTTTGGATTTGTAGGGTGCTTGGAGCCCGTAAGATAAGTTATCACCAAGCACAGACAGTCTCAAAAACACCTTTAGTGCACCTTTAAGATTAGGGCTGTATTAGCTGCCTATCGTTCAAATAAAAGCCAGCTTTCCAGCCAAATTTCTGAAGGTAAGAACTAACTATTTCTCCCTTTCTCTGCTTCGAAAATCACTCCGCCTTTTTAGTGCGATGCACCCGCAGTTGCAAAGCAAGTCAGCCGAAACCAGCTCAAGTAAAGGACATGAGCACAACATCACTCGGACGTTACTGATTGTCAACAATTTTGGACAAATATTTATATCCGCTTTTTTGGCCAGTGAGTACCGTGACAGATATTGCCCAATTTTAACCACCTTCAGAGTCATGCCTCGTCTATATATAGTTATAACAAGCTCAATGGTGTACATAGAAAGCACAGTGGGAGCAACCAACAGTGTCAAATTCGACAGTCTGATGTTGCTCTTATTTTCGTCGATGACAGCTAAATTAAGGTGACCACTCTAGGATACCGACCAGGTCGGCAAGAAGGCTGAGAGGGCAGTCAGAGACGCTCAACAATTATCAACGATTGTATCAGGCGCAAGGAACACGGAGGCTAACCTTGCCTAAAACACCTTTATGTGTTTGTGTTAGTTTTGCAAGTGGCGTCAATGCACCCATGCAGCACTTGAAAGCAAATGGCAGTTAGCCCTGAAACGAAAGGTACTTGGAAGTGAATGGCAGCAGAGCACTCACTCGTAGCACGCGTTTCTCGCGTGCATGCAGCTAAAGTTGTTGGCACTTGTGAAAATATGAAGAATAAATTTTATCAAAGGGCTTTATCCTCGCCAACCATCAGACAGCTAGGAAAAGTTCCAGTTCCATGGAAATATGACGTGATTTCTCTTTTGGCTTATAAGCCAAGAAAGAAATTTGAGGAGGAAGTAGTCGGCAACTTAGTTTGGGGTCTCCTTAAGAAAGTCGTTTAAATCATCTATTGTTTTGCTTTTTTTAATTTTTTTTGTAACTACTCAAGCGCGTTTTTTTATTTCATTTTACGAGGTCTTGTTAGAGGGTTGTATAAAAAGTTCACGCCCAATTCGAAAAGAAATATTTATACTCTTTAGAAGCAACACCATCAATAGAGCCCCCACTGGAAAAGGCTCACGTTACGCAATGTTCCGAGTGACTTGCAAGGACGGAAATTAAACTTGAACACCACCTCCTGCAGTCGACGAAAATGTCCCTCGTACTGTGAGGCGCAAACACGAGTGCCAGCCCGCTATACTCTGTTTCGTACTTAGCGTACAACGCTGTCAAAACTACTGGCGCGAACGTGGGGCGTGATCTCGTTGATCATTTGCACGCGTTCTCGCGCAAACAGAACCATAGAAGAAGCCACGCGCTCGCGCCAGTAGCTTTGACAGCGTTGCACGCTAAGTTTGAAACAGAGTATAGGCAGTATATCTTTATCAGTGGCGAATTCCGCGAAACACACCCCCTAGCTAGGTGCCACCAAGCCACCACCCAATAGAACTCCGATTTATTGTGTACCGATCTATACGTGATACATATCCCTGATACACTCACCAAGTGCCCCGCTCGGCCCTCGCTGCCTCTGGTGGGACCTTTGCCTTTGGCCGCGTTTCTGCAATCTTGCTGTTCACTCAGTGTGACAGATCGCTTCCAGGACTTCCTAGCGAAAACTCGAGGGTCTTTCAACCAATTCAACGCGCGGAGCACGTGTCTGCAAGGAGCCACACACGTTCCTTTTTCTGATGCACGCTGCCTGCACACACAAGAACACACGTCATAAGCTACGAAAAAGAAAAAGGTGGAAAACAAGCACTTACCAATTAGACTCGAATGCAAAGTTGGTTCGAAGAGCACGCCGACACGTGGGCGAGTATTTTCGAGAACGTTCGCGGTTTCTGAAAGCTCGAAAGTAGTACTACGTACCTCAATTCGATCTTGAACGATTGTGATGGTGATACGGTGATGCAACGTGAATGTGAATGTTTTAGTCGACTTAAATTCAAAGTGTAAAATATAAGATATTTTAAGAATATAATGAATATTTGTAGTAAAAATTGGGCAGTATTACATGCGACTAATGTGTCGGAGCTCGTTAGAGCGGTTTTATGTACGAAACTGGAGCTTGGCTTCTTTCAACTTTCAGCATGGCGGCGAACATTGGTCCCGTGTACCGTGCTCCAGTATCCATCTCCTGCGACTAAGATCAGCCACATTCAGCCTGTCTAGATGTAGTTTGCTCGTCGGCGGGAATATTCTCTCTTTGCAAGCAAGCCCCCGCTGGTTGCTCTAACGTCGTCAGCAACTTGCCCAAGCATCCACATTATCAAGTCGTCGGCTCCCACGAACCGCGTCTGCCAGCCTCACGCCGTTTGGTTTGTTTCTCCAGTTATCCGGCGGCGGATCCCCAGCCCTGGTCTCAGCCCTGCCTGACTTAATTACAGGCGCCGCTGCAAGACGCAAGCCTTTTTCGTTGTTTCAACTCGCAGTGTGGTTCTCAAAATGGGCACTCGTTCACTCAATCTCCGATACGCATCCTAAGACAGTTCTAGCGGTATGGAAAACGTGGATTCAGGATTCGGTTTATGGCGGTCACATTGTCGAATGATACATTGGAGCACGATGTTTACAAAAAAGATCGTGCTAAGAACTGTAGAGGTGTGCTCATAGTGATACCGTTCCGACTACCCTTTTGGTGACGCCATGACCTCGAGCTGGGACCTCCAACAAGCATGGCAAGCTGCTGCTATGCTGTGCGTGGTGCGCGGCTTCCGTGAAAGCTCAGTCTTACGACTCGCCCTTACGACTTACGACTTGTCCGGCGAGCCACTGGTGCTCATTAACACTAAAATGAATTAAAAGTGTGCATACTAGAAGCCTTCAAGCTGAGTCACTCAGAGTGCAATGTATACCATGGAACTATTTCCAGTGGCCCAAGTACTCGACAGTTCGACGGGACAGTGTGCTCAGTACAACTGTTCTCAAGGTGTTTATTAATTGTGATAATGCTCCTGCAATCGACTCCACTGCTGTTACAGACAAGGTGATGCTGGTGCTGCTTATCAAATGACCCAAGAAACCACAAAGGTTTGCAGAACAACATCGACAAGGTCTACTATAAATAACCACCTATGCGTCTTCACACAGCATTTTGGCAGTTTTCTCCAAAACTTGCAGAACGCTGGGTTTCTGTACTTTGCGTGTCCAGTGGAACCGTCCATAGCACACCTAGGTGTTTTTCACAACCCTGGTCCTGCCACACCTACAGTATCGCAGCTTCATATGAGACTCCTATGAGGTTGATCTTGTAAGATCAATTGAAAGTGTTCAGCAAAGGGGGGCAGCTTACACTATTCTTCGGCAGCCAAGCTGGCTCCGGATCACTCACTGCTCTGGCATTCGCTAGAATTCTGGCCCTTCACTGTTGGGCCAGAGGTGACCTCAAATGCGGCCCGTTAGTGGGTCGTCTTATTGTGCGTCCTAGACAGCGTTGTGGAACTGCAAGGTCACGAGACAGCATTAAAGGGAGTTGTTCGCAAGAATTGTGCCGGTGCCTTTGAACAGTTTCCTACCGTAGAGCAACAGCATTCCGTTTTGGTGTTGTCTTCACTGTTCTGGCAATCCCTTTATGTGTACTCACGCAGAAACCCCCTAACAATCGTCACAAGCTCGAAAACTTCTGTAGACATGCAACTCGTCACCTTCACCCCCAGTGAGGTAGAGCAGTGCCTATATGCTTTACTGTGAATTATGAACTTTTACTTAATTTCTATTCAGTGTTTTCCCCCACCCCTTTTCTTTGTTCCTTTTGCAGGGTACTGCAGGATTCTTGGTAGCCTTTGGCCTCTTTACTTTAAGAAATTGCTTTTAGCAGGATTAAACATTAAAAGCGCTTTTAACACTTTTATCCTCTACTATAGTACGCTTTGACACACAACTGTATGCTATTTTATTCTACCTATCACTGTAAAAAAATTTCTCCCCATTTTACGGAAAAAGTTGCTGGTTCGATATGGCAAAAAACTGGTTTTGTGTCCGTAAACTAAGAAACGGACACAAAGTCCGTCAGAATTATGACAAAAGTGTTCGTAAAATTACTGAAATTTTTTACAGTGCATTCACTTCTTTGCTAAGGACACGTGTAAGAATCTTAGTTTCAGAAAAAGTTGCTACCGCCAGGAAGAAGGCCAAGTTGCTTTAAAGGGGTAGTCTGCAGTTTCTTTTAACCACCCAGACTAACTACATTTTCTGAATATATGTCCTTCCCTCTTCCTTTTATGCTATTTTGTTTCTTTATATTTAAGTAGCCGCTGAGAAAATTTTTTCACACAGTGGTGTGACATCACTGTCAGGCAAGCCTGCACGTCAATCAGGCAGTCTAAGATACCAACTATATTGTTTAACATTTTGGACAAAACCCCGAGACTGGGGGGGGGGGCGGGAAAGGACAACACAACACAAAGTCTGTGTTGTGTTGTCCTTTTTCCCCCTCAGTCTCAGGGTTTTGTCCAAGATATTAAACCTTCACCAGCTTGTTTGCGCCCTAACTTTTTGTTCGTTAACTATATTGTGTATGTTCTTTGTTCTGTAGCGATATTTGCCAGCATTCATTTCACACAATCGCAAAATACTTGTATTTGTCAGTTTATTAAAATTGTATTGGGAGTACTTGAAATGGGGCCTTGTTTCTAAGTAATCATTGGATTGAATTCAGCATTATTACAGTGACTAAAACAAAGCACAAAGGTACAATATTAAGAGATTTCTGCTGTTTAGATATCTCTCCAAGTCCCCAGTGGAAATCTCCTACGGCCGGTGTAAGTTGCAAGAATGCCTAAACATACACTTGAAGGCACAACAAATGTTGCGGTCACCAAAAAACTTTTTTAGGTACGTAGGTTGCAGAGTTACACAACCAGGGCAAGAGAATATCAAAGAATTGTTTACAGTACCAAAATTTATTTAAAAGAAAAACATATTTTAAAAAATCAAAGTGAACGTAGGCAGCGTTTTTGTCTGAAGGTTCAATTTTTAGAGCGTGGTGCCGTATGTTGTGTTGCTCAGCAGATCGTTTTCGAAAAACCGCTCTCGGTCCCGGCCCGTGCTTAGAAGCATGATTAGAAGGTGCAGCACGCGCTTCCTCTACCAAGAGCGGTGTGAAAAATGCGATGTGCTGAACCCCCCTATAGGGAGTATTCACTGGACGCCATATTTGAAGGTGATGTTTAGAGCGCATGCTCAGAACAAGCTCACGTTAGTAGGCTGCTAAGGCCGGCAATCTTGGTGGTGCGGAATGCACGTGGTGAAAGAACTGTGGAAGCACGCCGTCAGCACGCGCTGAGCAGTCGCGCACACAGCTATGGCCGCCAGTGAATACTCTCTATTGTACTCTCTATAAATGAAGGATTTTAAAGTTTTAATAATTTGTTTTCGAAGGCCCACTTTCGCTCCGGGTTCGTGCTTCAAACGTGCTTCAAACGTGCAGCACGCATTTCCGCTACCAAGAGCGGTGCAGCAAAATATGATCTACTGGAACTCCTAATGTTGAATATTGTTAATACCCGGTTTACCTTTTTTTGCATAGTATTGCCAAAACAAAAAAGCATTCCGTTTGCCAGCCCTCTCGTCAAAAAATATGCAATTTGAGATGAATTTATTATTACTAGACCGATACGCTAGCGAAGGGTTCGCAGCGGAGTCCGCATGCACATGCAAGTGCAGCAGACGACGCGGAAAAACCGATCGTGCGTCGGCAGCTGCGCCACCGCTTCGCCCGCTACCGCAGCGGACCGCGCTCCCCCGGCAGAGGCTGCCTCAGTTACCAAACTGAGCCCCTCTAGTAACGTTGCCTCAGGGGAGCAGATACCCTGTTGGAAAATTTCGATGTTGGAAAGATGATGGAAAAGGCTCATACAAGCGTAACCGTAATATGGTACATCCTATACAAGCGAAAAGGCAGGTCCAGTAGAGTGGATTAAGGCGGAACGATACAGGTAGGCGGAACCGTACAAGCGTGTCGTATTATGGGACATTCTATACCGGCGTAGTGGATTATGGCGGAACCATGTAGGCGGACAGAACCATACAGGCATAACGTATTACGGGACATCCTATACCAGCGAAAAGGCGATACCGGCATGGTGGAGCCATATGGCTCCAACGTGGTGGTTTCGCCTTTTCACTGTTGTACAGAGCAATTTAGTTTTAAGCTTTACATATATGTATAGAAAGGTCGTGAAAGCTAAATTAATGCGATTTGTGCAGGCGAGTTATACGGCCAGGCGTACATAGTATAGGGACCTAGTCGTAACGATCAGTCAGATAATTAAATACAATTTGTTAATTAACTTTTTAATTAGTGAAAATGAAAATATGGTTTCTATCAGAAACTTGCTGAGTCACTGAAAACCACAAAATCAACTCTTTTTAGAAGGATATAATGCAGGGGTAGCATTTTATGCGTTCTGTAAAAATGCTTTATTTGGACGAGTTTCTAGGTTTCAGTTTTTTATCAGAGCTCATCTTTGCGCCCACGGTCCTGTTCCCCAGGGGCTTAGACGCGCAATACACGTGCACCTTGCTTCACTCCATCCTACGAGGGAGGCGAGGGGGCGGCTTCGCACTGCGGCCACCGGGCAGCAGAACCGTAGGTGCAAAGATGCGCTCTGGTAAGAAACCGAAGTCTGGAAACGCGTCCAAATTGACCATTTTTTTTAGAACACCATAAAATATTGAATTGAGCCAGGTAGTACATCACTAAGATAAAAAAAAGCCTGCATAATGCGTTGTTTTATCTTAGTGACTCTCTGAGAGCACTGCTCTGACATCTTCACCAGTCTATAGGCTTGTATGTATGCGGTACTTGACTCTTTAATACTCTATCTACAATATTTTACAATATTTACATTAGATGTGCGGAATCCATGAACGGTAGCTGCGATCACAGAGAGCTTATTATGTCACGCCGGTCGTTAGGGACCTAATCGTAACAATCAGTCAGATAATTAAATACAATTCGTTAATTAACTTTTAAATTAGTGAAAATGAAAATATGGTTTCAATTAGAAACTTGCTGAGTCATTGAAAACCACAAAATCAACTCTTTTTAGAAGGATATAATGCAGGGGTAGCCTTTTACGCGTTCTGTAAAAACGCTTTATTTGGACGAGTTTCTAGGTTTCAGTTTCTTGTCAGAGCTCATCTCTGCGCCCAAGGTCCTGTTCCCCCTTAGACACGCAACGCACGTGCGCCTTGCTTCCCTCCATCCT